AGATGCATTTACTTAACAGTAGTGAATTATTTGACGTGTATTTATGTATTTAGATATTACAGTTAACACTCTAATAGTTAGAGTTAACACTCTACTGGGATGAAAAGTGTGTTTCTCAGTATACGGAGCCTGCTCAGAGTCAGGGACCCATGTCTTTATAACTGACACTAGGTTTTCATTTTTTAAGGCTATCTTCTTCTAAAACATAACACCTAGAAACAAGCTGTAATTTTGAATAACACTTGTAGACAGTAAAGTGGATTCCATCTGTGCCAAATCAAGAAAAATATGAGGTCTTACTTTGACTGACTACCAAACCAAGAGAAGGTCTGGATGCATTATGTTTCCCAGCATGGGAAGATTCAGCTCCACGATTTTCATTTAGTCCATTAGGGATGTTTCTGCGCACAGTCAGAGCTGGGTTATAACTTCTCTTATGCTGCCTTAAAACAGCTACAATTCCACTGACTATGAAGCAGCTAAGCCTGATGTATATTGATGTATAGTTAGTGATGTGTAAGCAGAATCAAAGACAGTAGAGAGAATGGTGAAACCATTGGCTCTTGAGTTGCATCAGCCCACCAGCAGTTCAAATGGGGCTTCCATGCCAGGATATCACATAAGCAACAACAGGACCATGTTGGTCTGAGGCTGTTCCCCAACTGTGAGAAGCAGCGAGCCAAGAGGGGCTGCCAGTGCCCACATTGCCAGGTCACCCACAACCAAACATGGGAGTCCCAGGGAGCCAATTCCTGCCTCTGACTCACTCCTGGGGTTCTCCTTCTCCTCGTCTCTCCAAGCTGTGTGAGGAGCGCCTTGTAGGCTTTGGGCCATGGCAGCATTTAGGCACAAAGTTCACACATACGTCAAGGCTGACCCATTTTTCCACTGGTATTAGGGGGGACGTGTCCCACTAACCTTCAGATATATGTCAAAGCACACCTTTCCTTTTCTTTTTTTTTTTTCAGGTAAGTGAGAAGTAGGTATCTAGGTAGGCATATTGGCAAGACAGAGAAGGAGAACTTTGGTGGCGTGTAATTTGGTGGCTGCAATTCTCTGGGACATTTTCCATTTTATTAAATCTATCACGAGGCTTTAATTCTAACTGAAAATTAATTGCAAGTTTGAAGCATGCTCAGAACCCCTGTTAGGAGAGTGGATCAAAGGAGGCCAGACAAGCTCCAATGCTAAAACCAGAGCTTAATAACACATCAGCTTTTGCATTTGCTCTCTGACTAAAGAAAAAAGGACTGTGAAAGTGTGATTAAGGGCATAATTTGGCTCATTTACAATTCCTTAAAGGGTTGCTCTTCAGACCATTATCATAGTTTTGGAGCAGAACACGCCTATCACATTCTTGTTGTTAATAATCTACTCCCTGGGTAGAGCTCATTACAACAGCATCGTCTCAGTAGTGTTATGTTCATAGATGCTTCAATGACTGTAGTTATGAAAAAAAGCCCATGCATGCATACATACATACCTATATTTACATATGGAGAGAGAAGAAGAGCACTTGGAATAGGGTCTATTTCCAGACATTCAGCAAGGTCTATTATCTTAGGTGTCTGACACATTCATGGATCATCATGAGCGATCAAAAAGTCACACGATCATTGACAGATGCTCTTTGCAATGAAAATCAGATTTCCTATCCAAGACAGTGAAGAAATGCCTCTAAAGAATTTGTTTCAGATAAATCACTTACTCTTCTTGCTTGCATGGCCCCAAAGTAGCGATCACTGAGGAGATCTCAATGAGATCCTGCAAAATGGGTTGAACACCTTTATACCTACACACATCTACAATGAATGCAAATGTGACTTGAAAATTGACCAGATAGGGCTTTAGAGAACCTAATTGCTTGGTTTCAAGAGGTCCAGTTGTGCGAGTGGAGATAACTCCAGTTGACCAGAGCTGAGACCCCGTTAGTTAATGAGCTGTGCCACCGGCTGTAGCGGTTTCTCGTCATTGACACGACGCGTGGGCAGAGAGCACATCATTCTGTTTGATCTACTAATCAGCGCTGATTCATGTTTACACTGCAGATAACATTTCATCTGCTCGCAGAAGGTCACTTCCAAGTGATTCCGCATGGTTTCAGGATTGCTTGCTGCCTGCAATATTCTCTGAAGGAAGATAGACCTTCATCTTCCCTTGTGTCAGAGACGGCTAGCATTCACGCAGGTGTTTGTTAGCACCATCACCATTTCTCAAGCAGCAATATCAAACAGTACATATTATAGCATATCTTTCACCCATGAAGCTCAGACTATACCAAAACAGGCAGAAAGACCTCGTGAATTTCATTATACAGCTAGAGAACCTAAGACATTGAATAGATATTTTTGTTCAGTTATTTCTTGCTCATAATGCCTCAAATTTTGCTTTCAAATCATTAGTTTTCACTAATGGCAAGGCAGGCAATAATTCACAGACTCAGGTGTGGAGTGATGCTACATGAACCTACAGAAAATATTAAAATGCTCTAAATGCACTAAATTTCAAAAAGCAACAGCAGGGCAAGTTTCCTGCTATGTTGAATGGTTTGGTTTGGCCAACACTATCATCAAATGTGTGTTGCCAATGACAAGGAAGAATAAATACAGAGATTTCTGTTAAAAGTTTGATAAGACCACAGGTCACTGCTACAGGGACACGTGGATCACACCACGATCTGCGGAAAGGAAGTCAATGTGCATCATACTATGGTCAAACATAAAGCTGCTTCTGGAAGCAAAGTCCATACTTACAGCATGGGGCACCCTTTTTGGGGAACAGTGGCAATCTTTCGGGTAAACAAACTTGCTCATAAATCCCATAGTCCCATTATCCTGATTTTTTAAAAAGGAGATCTGTCAGGAAAGGCCCTGGCTGCTTTTTGGTAGTGCATGTTGCAACCCTTGTAAAAGGGATGATGGATCCTTCCTTCCTTTGGCCATACCCTGGGCATATACCTTGAATGGATGCTGGACTTGGAAATGCTCCCTTGTTCTTCATGGCCAAACACTCTAAGCAGAATTTGAGGACACAGCAAATAATTACTGACCATGAGCCAAGGCAGGAGCTCACGCCAAAACGACTAACAAGCTCTGTGGATGTCTGAACTCACGTAGGAGTAGGTAAATCACTTTGCCCCTGCAACTAGGACTCGCACACAGCTTCCTATTGGAATGCTGCTTCTGGTTCTCATGTAAGTGACCCCAAAGGGATGTTGACTAATTAGTAAGAGTTTAAGGAAGGGCCGTGTGAATCATTAAAGCTCCAGAAAGCGTGTTTTAGCAAGAGCCTCCAAGATTGAGATATATTCAGCTTCCTAAAGAGAAGATTAAGGGACAATTTTATCTCAGCCTGTAAACAACTAGAAGGACAACAGCAAATTCTTAACACGTTTTTTCAGTCTAGCAGACAAGTGTGCAACAAGATTTCCTGGCTAGGGAAAAAAAAAAAGAAAAGAAAAGAGGAATTAACCAGTGGAATAACACAGCAAAGACTGTGAWACCAATTTCTGATCAACCGCTCTAGTGCAAACAGAAAGAAGGACATKGAAGTCCTTTGCCCTGTTTGACATCATTTTTAACACTTCATAATAGTGATCCTCCCTTATTTGCAATCTGCAGACCTCTGAACACCGAATGACTGAAATTAATGACTTAAAAAGGATTACACTTTAACAATGTGTTYGACTAACTACAGTATAAATGATTTAATTAGCCATTCTGCTTGTTCCCTTTCACTTTAACAGTTCCATTGCCCAATTCTCATCCTACCTTCCTGCTTTTTAGTGTCTCTGAGATGCAGAATCTGCTTGGTGCAGAATTGCGGGGATTTCCCCTGGAAATCACTCAGACCTGGAGCAAATATCATTTTGAAGCACCAGCAATGCAGCTGAGAACACTGAGCCCCAACATCCCCTGTTCCCTAGGCTGTGTCTTYGGGGAGACAGACTAGAAGATGGAAAGGTCAAAGCCCTCAAAGAAACGCCTGGAAAGCAGAACTGCTCATAATGGATATGCCAGTTATCGCTGTTTGCTGGATGGACAGACTATGATGACACYATGGAAACTGCTCCGTCCTTGGAGAGCAGGAGCTCAGCCATGTCCTGGGAGATGCAGCTCCGTTTTAAGGTCGGGAAGAGCCCAGTTTGAATCTCACAGCAAAGGTCCTTAGAAACACAGACATTGCTTGACTTGTGATCTCAACACGCGTGACCTGCGCATCACCAGAAGAGGAAGCAGCTGCCCACACTGGCAGCTGAGACCCTTTCCTGATTGGAGACCAGGCAGGCACAACATTATCCTCATACATTTATCAAAATCTCTTGTTTATGGAACATCCCTGGTGCTGTAAATACACTACCTTACACCCTAAACTTCCTCCATACAGGAGAGAGCACTTCTGGGGGACAACACGGGATGCAACAGAAGGGAGGAGGATCATGTGGACCCCTCCCTTGTGTCTTTAAAATATGTCTGTGGTGGAACCAAGATGTTTCTGCTCAGTCCATTCGTGTTCACTAGATGGGTATAACACCCCATACGACCCAAGGACTAGCTAAAGTTGTGGAAAAGCCATGTGATATTAATCTACGCCATGCTAGCAAGCATTAAGAAGCAGGGCCTACCATAATCACCCTTTCCTCAGCYAATCTGCACTTTTTCAAATGAAGGAGACAGCAAGGGACTTTATCCATGAAAGACGGAGCCCAGYAGGAAGGAAACATGCAACAGAAGGGTCGATTTCTGCTGTGGGCACGTTTCTCACATGTCAAACACCCAATATGTCCCATGTGCCCTCTCCCTTTGCGTTTCTGAGCCAACACAACCTGTGTATGGCCAAGGAGGAGCAGCATGAATTTCCCTTGACTCTTAGAGAGGGATTTGTCCAAAGGCAAAGAGTTCCTATGATCTTACCTCCTCAGAGCTACTGCAGAGGGTCTCTGCTGCTAGGAGAGCAAAACAAGCATTGATAAGCAGTGATGAGATATCCTGTGTACTGACCTCGGACATCTGCGGGAAGAGGCTGATGGCCAAGGGGAGGGCCAGGCCAAAGGCYGCGAGGCACACGAGGCTTTGGACCGGGAGAATCATCCGGGGACGGGACCTCAGCAGGGACGTTCTGCAAAGAAAAGGCTGGGTTAAGCCCCTCCATAGACCACGTTAACCCATGCCGCCACCCAAACAGCCATTTGCTCAGACCTGCTGCCCTCCAACACTCCAAATGGTGTTAAAACCTGCGTGGAGACCAGATCTTCACCCTGATCTACAACTCTAGCTTGTCATTTTATAGATCATGAATAACTAAGGATCACACTCTTCTGCCTTTTCTGYGTGTGTCATCTCGGATCCTTCTCCAAGGATCATCTCTGTGAGTTCACAAGTAGACGAGCACGATCCAGCCCCAGGGCAGTCCTGCATACAGCACACTATGGTTTTCCACCCCACACTATGGTGTTACACAGCCATGGGCAACTTTAGTGCTCAGTTCTCCCRGATTAAAACAGGATCGCTTCCCACTCCCTTTCTCCGCTTCAAACCAGTCTCACTCTGGTGTAAACACTACACAAGGTGATGTGGATATGGCTGCAGGTGTTGCCTGTATTGAGGCTTTGGAGATGATGCTGAGTGAGCAGAAGGAAGTGAAGCTTCATACTTCCCCAGGACTTCATCATTTGTGGAACAGAATGGTGCTGAAAAGGGCATTTCACTTAGTTAATGGCATCATAAAGTAGTAAACTTGACAATATCTTAATTTGTTAAAAATCAAACATCTTTTAGAGTGGGTGATAMGGCCGTTTTAACACGAGTTGTCCCCAGGGGATATTTATGAGTTTAAGATGTGTTAACAGCAACCGCTTAAAGATATCTGCAAGGTCAAGTTCTGATAATGACCCATTAAGTGACCCTAATGATGCAATTAACACTGAATGACATGGACAACATTCAGCTGATAGAAGCTGGTATTTTAAGTATGTTACAGGAGACGGGACCTCAGACAGTTTGCAAATGAGTGTGAACTGGAAGCTTTAGGGAGAAAAAYAGAATCCTTGAGCGTTTTGTTTGGGAGTTATTCTCACCAAAAAGGCACCGTTTGTTTTTCTTTTMCCACCAATCTGAATCAACTGAGAACTGAGAATGATAATAGGTTTTGGCCAGGTATTCAGCAGGTTTTAGCAATGCAGATGGACGATCCATCTGGGCTGGCTGGGCTACCATCTCCAGCCTTAGTCCCAGCGTGTCTCTCCACTCCTTGGCCTGACCAACAGTGCCCAGAAGATACTGATGCCTGGAGGGGTCCTGCCATCAACCACAGGCAAGAACCTGCTGCTTAGTGCCTTCCCAATGGGATAACACCGGAGGAGCTCTCCTGGGGAGAAGGAAAGGCCTAGGAATGATCAGGTGACACTCAACAACATTATGGTTCCCATCATTGGGTTTCAAAACATGTTTCTAATCCAATGTGTGTCATTCACCAGGTTCCCAACCAAAGGGAGGGAAGCAATCCATCCACATCAGGGGATGATGCCGGGCTCTGAACCCAAGTGCTTTCACACACACGTTATTTTGGAGGCCCACCTCCCCGCGCAGCCCGAGCCTGCCGGAAAGGCAAGATAACAGATTATCTCAGCCCCCATCTGCTTCACATCTCCTGCAGGCTCCAAGCAAGCACCTCCTGGATTATAACAGCGCAGCTGATGTGTGGAACTCGTTAGCTGCTGCGGGCTGAGCGCGAGCGCCCCAACTCTTCCCTCTTGCCCAGCCATGGATGATTGTCTTCATCTTCATCTTCATCTCAAGGAGGGGTGGACAAGGAGAACCAGGAAAGCAACATCCACAAATTTAATCCCACCAATAGCTTAACTCCTTACTCCAAACTCTAACTGCATTCGCCACCTGCTCTTCTGTACACGAGATGTTCAGGATTTGCCAGCCCATGAGCTGTGGCAGCCAGTGCCTGGTAGGCAGAGGGGCAATTGTTGAGACTGATTTATCCTTATGCTTAAAATGTCATGATCCATTAGAGCCCTTGCTGAGAGAAATCACAGGACCAGCATCCTTCTAGCCTCCCTGGAGTACAGTTTAGAAGCAAGACATCACTGCTTATATCGCCCTGACACTTTAATTTGGAAGCTGCACCCTCTTTAATTACTGCCCTGTTGGGGACCTTATAATCACCCAAGTAAAAACCACACCAATTTAAAATGATCCGTGGTACAGCCTCCAGGTGTGACTTCCAGGAGCGTTCCAGACTCAGGCCAGTTCAAATTACAGCGGCTAACGTCCTAATTAAGAAGAGCTATGGCTTGATTTTAAAGGGGGAGGGGGACTAATTAACACATGTAGTGTAATGTCTTAATTGGGATGCAGCTTCTAAAATTTGTGTAGCTCAGAATAAATGACTCATGATCAGTTGGGAGGTCACTTTTCCTCGGTCCCTAGGATCCCTGCACAGATTTTGGAAGAAAATTTAGTTAATTATTCTATGCTGCATTTTGTTACCTGTCAAATACAACCAAAAATGTTCTCCCTTCCCCAAAACCACCCCTTTCCATGACGGAAATGCCTGATTAGATGCTTCCTAATGGCTTAATTGCAGAGTATTGTAGTAGAGCAAGCCATAACTCAACAAAACAGATTTCTGTTTGTCCAAGAGCGAATTGTGCTACTGCATTGTACTGGGTGCTCTACCTGGGGGCGAGATCGCGGGTGTGGAGGGCCAGTCCCTTAGATCCTTGTGAAAGCACAGCTTTGCCCCGAGCATCTTCTAAACCAGACTGCTTTACCCACAAGAAGGTGAATATTATCTCACCTTAGCAGTCGCTCTGCGCAGGCAAACAGAGCTATTTGGACACGACAAAAGTAGTTTCATACCCGCCCTGTCCAYGGGACAGAACTGGCCAAGATCTGGTGAACTAAAAGTTGGTCTTCAAACGGGACATGTGGACTTAAAAGATTTGTGCCAAGACAAGGTCTCACGCTGTAAGGCTGCAGGAGGACACCAATATGCGTGCTCTGCTGTTCCGTTTTCAGAAGCCTTTTTTCTTTTTCCACCAATCCTTGCTAGGACCAACACGAACAATAAAGTGCTCTTTAGTTGCACATGAAAATGCATTTTTTTCTAGCAGTTTCCCTTTGTATATCTCTTCCTTACTCTCTTTCAACCCCCCTAGTGCTTATTCTCCCTGTAATCTGCTGTCATGAAATTTGCCTGGCAGAGAGAAATAAGGGAGTAACATGTTGAGGACCTTCTGGCTTACTGATCTTAGGGAGCATCTCCTGTTAACAGATATACCTAAAACAACTAGACCTTTAGGGTAATGCTTAAATATGCATGAGTGTGCATGTATGTAGGTATACACACAGCCACACGCATACTTGTACAGACAGTACATCTGCTCCACAGAGACACTGTGTTGTAGATCTTGTAAATACACCTTCATTCAACTTTCATCACATTGTTCATTAGTGGTTTAAATTTTGCATAATTTGGCAGCTGCCTCTGGCGTTTTTCAAGAGGTACTGTAATTTATTCCATATGGAAGTCACTCGCTGTACTAAAAAGGAGTTATCAGGTTCAGCGAACCAGAGCTGTATTTGTCTAGGAGGAGGTGTCAGATGCTAAACTAAATATGACAGGAGTTAACCAAAGTCTCCCAGCTGACAGATTCTGTGGGGTTTCTGTAGTGTTTGGTATAAACAGGTTCAAAGCTAATACATACACTGCAAGACGCCGAGGATGCTGCCGGGGTAAGAGAAGCCCTGGAGGCTAAAGCCTCGGATATCCGAGTTTGGCCTTGCTGTCCTATCCGGGGGTCTTGCTCCAAATCCCGATTGTGCAACGTGCCCCATAGATCCCCTTGCGACCATCGTCCGCGTTGGGGCTGCCCCACTGCTGTCTCCCTGGGGTCATTCCAAGCCTTCCTCGCTCATTTGGGTCACTGAAGGAGAACCAGCTCTTCTGGCGAGCAGCATCTTGGCCAGGGACCTTCTGTCCTCCAGCACCTCCTGCACCCAGGGTTGCACCTCTCGCTTCAGCTTTTCCTGCAGCGGATGCAGACACGGAGCGGGGTCGGGTACTTTTTGTCTTGATTGACATAATTAAAGGGAGCAGTTTCAATGTTTACTCTGGTAACAGCCGTGACAAATGAAGGTGTCGCTGCCGTCAGCTGTTGAGCTCAAACAAACTTCACCGCGGGCTCAGCCGGACAGAGCGACTTGGYGCCTCCGGGGAGGGAGAGCCTGGGTAGGGAGCGTCCTGCAAACGCTGCTGCAAGGAGGAAACCCCGGCAAAAGGGCACGGACACAAGGTCCAGGGGGCCCTCCTGTTTCACGTGCATTTTTTGCAGTGAAAGAGAAGGTCTACGCTGGAGAAAGCTCCCTTCTACCACCACGTGCCATGGGCTGAGCACTGGCCATCGAGAGAGTAACTCATTGCACTGTTAACCTGATATAGCCGTGCCCCAGCAGCTCTGAAATTATTTTATGAGCTTTAAGGGAAAGCAGCCCTGACAACTGGTGTGTGAGGATGCTGACATTCTGTGGTGCTCGCAGCACTGCGAGCCTCGAAATCAGGATGATGTGGGGATGAAGAATGACTAGAAACGCTCCTCTTTTGGGGACACAACCAGTCTGCTCCTTGCTGCTTTTGCAGCTCTTGTTCCCTGCCAAGAGTTCTGTCCTTCTCTCCCCATAATTTGCACAGTCGGCTCTGTGGCCTGCTCTTAACTGGCCTGACATCCATGAGCTCTTGGAGCTCAACCTCAGGCCTGCTGCACCTCAGACCCTCTGAGGTTACCTCCCTTGTAAGATGGAGAAAAGTCTTATGGATGAAAAGCTTGTGGCTTATGTTCCCCTGTCCCCACTGTTAGACCAGGGCACCCACAGAAGACACTAGTGGTGGACYGAGCTGTGGTGGTCTGTCCACCCCTTATCCAGACCACGTGAACCTAGTCCATTGAATTTGGGCTCTTCCCGTCACAGAGTTCAGACTACCAGGGAACCTGTGTTTGCACGTGCAAGACCTGGACAGCCTGGATGGTCTGCAAGTCCACCTGGATGATGGGCCCCAACTCTGCAAGAAGTAGGAAGCTGGACAGGAACGACCGGAGAAGGTTTGGAAGATGACTGGTGCTTTCTGCAAGATACTTGTGCTGTTTCTCATTCTTTTATTAATATCGATCAGATAAAAAGATTTGCACAAGTATCTGAATAATATGAAATGTATGAGTTTCAAGACATATGTCCAATGGACATAATTGTTCCTGCACCTTCTTCTCCTGTGTAGAAAGGTTGCAATGAAGTTTCCACTGTCTGCTCTAAAGTCAGCTACATCCCATAGATGAGTTTCCTTCATCTTGGAGATGATGTGAAACCAATATTTTTCCGTATTAAAGTTGCCAACATAGATATTATTTATAAAACTGAAATGAGAATACATCTGCACAAAATAACTGACACCGTGTTCCCCGCATGGCATATGCAGTCTCAAAATAAACATTGATTCTATATGTTAGCTGCTTCAACAGAGCGTCCAAGCAGCAGGAAATGCATGAAACATGGGGAAAGAATGGAACGCTACGGAGCTCAGCAGTGGGAGGTAACATTGAATTACTTGGAGAGCAGAGAAGGCGGCCCTGGGAGTTAAAATACACAGCAGGCAAAGAGATGAGAGAAGCCAAGAGAGATTAAAAAAATGGCACAAGAGACGAGAGAGGCAGCTGGGGGAGTTAAAACATGCAGATGGAGAGATGGCTGAGAGAGAGGAAAGACCTGGATCCAAGTGGAAAGACGGCGACCGGGAACTGGCCACTTAAAATAAAACTTTTCAAGTAGCGAGGCAAAAACGACGGAGCAGGTTTTCCATGAAGCTGAAAACCACTGCTGGGACACCCAGCCTGTTCCTCAGGTGGTTCAACACCCACGCAGCGTCAGCGCTGTCACCCGCGGTACACCTGGACCTCTCCACGAGGCAGGAGAGCCGCTTTCCTCCTTCACCACAGCCTCAAACGCAGGATCCAGATTGCGACTCCTTATTCCAGATCTCCAGCCATCAAGTAATGAGCTGTCACCCTCATCTTTCTCATTTATAGACACTGTCAGGATTTCTATAAATAAATTGATAATACATGCTTCAATATGACTCTCATTTTAAAAGCCCTAGTCTAACTGAAATTGCACTAAATTTAAAAAGCTGAACTTTTCACAGCCCCCTCCCCAATCAAACTGGGAAAATAAGATTGATATATGCAACGTTGGCTGGGAGATTTAATTTTTTATTGTTTTTGATCCAACCCAAAACATTCCTGCTTCAACTGCTTGGGCTCCTGCCTCCCAGACGACTTATGAGTGCACTCTCTGCTTTGGGTTTCTTGAGCATCCTCTGTCTCCTGAAACGTAATCCACTTTCATCTGGGTCCTTCAGCAACCACTGCAAGAGATCTATGGGTCTGTACCTGGACCATGAGACCCTCAGATATGGAAAGGGAGGCTTTCCAAATCAGAGGGGTGGTTCCATGTCCTAGAGCAATATCGGGCATATGAGCATCTTTTGGACCATAATCTCTATTTCTTTGGCCAAAGYTCACCCCATTACTAAGCCTGTTGTTGATCCTTGACAGGCTCCCAGGAACCCAAAAGTATTCAGTGAAAAATAAAACAGTATGCACAAAGACTGAAGTGGAATTCAGGCAAGCAAAAGCAGTACCTGTATATTTTGCTTCTACAGAACCTCTTTTGGGGAAGGTAGGAAGAAAAGGGTTCTCATGCAAACCTTAGTTAGGTCTTTCTATCACTTAAAAGAAGAACTTTTCAAGGACAACATCTTATATTTCCATGTTAGCTTGACAGATAAAATTAATTTCAAGCACTCTTGCATGGAGAACAGTTACACTGAGTAAACTGCATCCTGTTATAACCAAAGTTATCATGTGCACAAGAGCAAAGAAATTTTACTAGTGGCTTCATCTGAGCTTGCTGGTGCTTAGAAAGACCCACGAGAGTCCTCAGCRTTCCCTGTTGGACACAGTCCTTCACTGACTTGGAATCTATGAACTTTGTGGTTTTGCATGTACAGATCTGTATGTGTGTGTTGTTAACAAGAATAGTATAGAGCCTTTGAATCAYAGGCATAAAAGAGTCTATTTTCTGGGCAGATCTTTCTTGGATGARCTAATCATCAAGTCACAGCTCTCCTGGAACATGGGGCCGTGTTGAGTAAGCAGTGACACACACAGGCACTTGGGTGAAAGGCCTTAATGCTACAGAAAGACTGAAAGAAAGATCTCCGGGGYAGGAAACATCACAAAATTGTGGCATTTCTTAAATGTCTGGCATGGGGACAGGTGACTGACTAGTGACTTTAGACTGGTAGCAGCAAAGCAGTTTTGATGGGATTATAAAGGCCAGATTCRTGTGTCCAAGATCAAAGCAGGGATGCTGTTGAGGTGCTGGGGTCCAAGGAAACAGGACAGCTGCTGCTCTCCATGCACGTGGCATTGAGCAAGCCCTGTGCAGGACAGAGCAGAGCAAGGGACGGTCACTCCCCAGGGGAGGGCTCGGCCCTCCATCCTCAGCCTGCAAAGCTGGACTAACCCAGACCTCTCCACCTTCCTCACTGCTTAGGCTTGAGCTCACACACATCAGCTGGCCTCAGTGCTAGGCCCTGGGTGCTACAGGGGTGCATATGGTATATACATGTATTTTAAACATAAATCCTGAAATTGAGACTCAACTTTTGCAAAAAAAATCCCTCCACGCCTCTGCCAGGGACAGGGAATTGCCCTCGGGTATTTTTACAAGAGCAAACAAGGTCAAGCAAAGCTGAGGGTCAATACCTAATCATCCTAATTGCTATTTACTTTGTCAGCAGAGTGCTTCAGAGCAGCCATTATCAACAAGTTTGTTTAAAAAGTGCTTCCAGCTCCGCTCTCTGGACAAAGACAGCAAGTCCTTTAGCAGCCCCATCTTTCAGGGCAGTGATCCGTCTCCCAAGGCTCGTGGGGAGAGGCAGGGCCCAGCGAGGGCCGGTCGCCCCACACGAGCCGGTCTGTGGGGTGCGAGGACGCGGGCTGAGGACACACCAGCCAGACGCCAACAGTGACTCCAAAGAGAAGCTCACAGAATCTCTGTGCAGAGGCAAAAGCTGACGTGGAGGACCAAAAATGGAGGAGAAGAGCTCATGCTCATAGTGCTTTGGCTTCTTTGTTAGAAACCAGTGACATGGGACAACTGGACACAAGGTAATAACCTTGCCCTGTCCTACCCACTCTTCAGAAGTGCTACCAGAACGTTTCTCCTGGAACACTGGGGCTCCACAGAGACATCTCTCAGGACAGCCCCTGGCTTATACAGTGATGGAAAGCAAAATTCCGCCCAGCTGGTGAAGGTGAGTGCTCCATCACTCTTCCCTTTGGTCAGCATGGAGGCACCCCTGGGATTGACACAGGGATATAGTTGACAAGTAGGAAGGAGAAGACCAAGGCAGACGTCCTGTACTGATGAATGAGATAGAGAAGGTGAAAGGAGATGATTCTTTGCAGTCCCCCGCCAGGTGAGACGAAGGAAGCTGCCAATTTGAAGGTCAGAGAAGTTTAGAACAAACGAGAGGCAGCTCTTTTCCCCGCTGTGCGCAATCATCCGTGTGGCTCAAAGCCCCAGGACGTTACGTGAAGTACAAGGGGGTTCAAACAGGGTCTGGACAAGTTCACGACAGACACGTCCTGCAGTGATATGGCCAGGAGGATCCAGGCACAGAGCYTGGGTGACACATCTCAAACCCTGGAGAGCTCCTGGTGCTGCTGTGAAATAGCAGGACCCAGAGCTGGAGCCTTGCACGAGCCACCCAAGACTCCAGCAGCATGATGGCCTCCATCCTTATCCTTTATCCCTATTTATCCACTGATCTTCCCGTTTAGAAAGACAGCATCGTGCTGGAGACCTTTAGTCTGACCCCATGTGGCAGCTCGAATGTTTGCAAAACGGAGGACTGAAAAACTGTGAACACTTTCCCATTGAATCCGGAGAGTTTTGGTTCACGCTGACCCTATAGAACAGGGTTATTCAAACTGCTACAGCGTCTCAAGAGATGATTTAAAATAACACCACCAACATAACACTGCAGCASTCTACAGGAATGGCCAAAGATGCTGAGAAATGAACATTGTAATAAACAAAAAAAAGTCTTTGATAGACAACTGCTAAACAGTACCAATGAGTAACACTTATTAAGTGCCTTTTCTCCCTTCCCCATGAAAAGCCACCCGCTTTCATACTACCCAACACTTACTTTTCCAGTACGGACATAATAATTGGAGGTAGAACCAGTATAGGCATTGGCAGGACCACTCTAGTCAGGGCCGTTTCGAGGAGCGCCTGCAAAGCAAAAACAAAGTGACCCAAGGCATTTAAAACGAAGCTCAGGATGCACCTGCACCGAGCAGCCAGCACGTGGGCACAGGGATGGCTTGGCTGGTCCTCCTGGTGTTGCATATGTGAACAAACATATCAACAAACGTTTACAACTTTGCACTCAGTTATTTGTATACAACCTGGTTTTGTGCTGCCGTGACACCGGGTGGATTAGAGCCAGGTTTGGTCACAGGGCTCCCCATCTTAGAGGCACTCGAGCTTCACCTACATGATCCAAAGTACTCAAATATCATATTCCTACACAAATACGTTTGTGTATTGTTSATTTCTATCCCCCTGCCTGGGGATAGAAATGAAAGTCAGAACAGCTGTGTGGCATATTCTGCAAGCTAAGATCTCCCCATGCAGGCTGAGCTTTGTGTGGTCCTGATCTCCTGCCTGGGAGGAGATGCCCTCTGCAAGACCTAGAGCAGCAGGGATGGGAAGGCTGAACACCCTGAGAGTGTTCAACCTTCCCAAAGGGCAGAATGTCCTGGAAAGGTGCAGATTACAACACTAAGGACCTGCCAGGTACTACCCTGTTTGGGAAGAACCATCAGGATTAGGTGGCAGCTGAGTGGAAGTTCTCAGAGTCCCAAATTTGATGCTTGAACTCCACCTAAATGACATTTACTGCACCTTCATTTTTAATATTTATTTTTTGCCTTGCCTGTATTCTCCTAGACCATTAGCACGGAGAGAGGAGGAAGGGTCTTGAAGCCAGTAATGTACGTGAGGCAAACTGGCTCAAATAAGAGTCTTCGAGCCCTTCAACAGATTGTTTTAAGCTCCCCGTTAAACAACAATATGGAGATATATTAGAGATCTCCCATTTCTTGCAGAAGACTGCAAATCTGTACATTAATTGCTGTCTATGAAGTGCCTTAAGAGCCTTGGACAGAAGGAGCGAGAGAAATGCCAAGCATTATATTATTAACTCCTCTGCCTGGGCGTGTGCTTCTGTACATGCTTTACATTTCAGATGAAAGCCCACTTGCAAACAACGTGCCTCAAACAATCAGATGATGCTCAGGAGACAAAACCATGTAAAAAGGAAGAAAACGCAATAATTGCAAGCAGATGGTGGCGGGTAGAAGGTTACAGGCAAAAACAAACCAGGTGTGAGCACAAGACTGAAAACATCTGGCCACCCTTAGAAAGCTCTGGATGGCAATTGTGAAAGCGATTTTGACATGGCAAGGGTTAAAAAGCTCCTCAACTTGAAAATGAAGTCTTCCTCATTTAGAAAAAGGTGTAAGTTATCTTTGCTTCAGATTCAACGCGAACTGCGTACAAGTTTCCACAAAGAAATCCTAAGGCTAGGAATGCACGAGGGGAGCAGACGATCCTTTCCCTGTAAATCCGTGGGCTTTCAGTCCAGAATGAGCAGCTATTGGGTTGCTTGTACAACGCAGGCRTCTTCCGGCACAGAGCCCCAATTTCTTCTGAGGCTATGGCCTTTTTTTTTCAGGAAAAGCTCCCTAGCCTTGGCTTGAGCACTTTTGGGCAACAGAGTTGTGCTGAGATAAATGACTTTTGATCAGGTGCTTAGAAATGACACTTAGAGCAACACCCCAAGCTCGTGTACACCCAGCTGCAAGAGTGGGCACAGAGCAGGCAGTAAATTTTGCATCGTTCCCCCTGCCTGCTCAGTTACTGTCATCTATTTCTAGCTCCTAAGTCATCGATTCCTACAGCTGTGGGATTTGAGGAGCCCTGAGGCCTGCTGTGTGCATGTTTACGTGGAGGGCTCTCAAGGAACATCGCGGGTACATACGTGTTTGGCAGCAATTCTGGAAGATCCGACAATGTTTCCGTTATTGTCCAAAACATCAATTCCTTCCTCCAGCTCCGCGTGCCTCATCAGGACAACGTTGCAGATATTGGCACTAGCTGAGGACRAGAAAAGCAGGATGATTAGCGGCGTGGCCCCGCTCAATGCCAAACAGCAGGCTGCTCTTCCCTGCGACACCCCTGCAGTTTCCTTCCCATGGGTCTGCCGAGGAGTTTCCAAAAGCCAAGGGTTCACCCCTGTACCTAGGGGCACTTGTGACTGTGTATAGGAGAATAATACATCAGGATCATTCCCTTTTATTCCTTTGGCAAAGGAATTTGCTGCCACGGGAGGAGATGTATTGAGGCAAGAAGGAACATGAGCGTTTCCAGATACTCGGAGCTGCCCTGCTCTGTGAGCTGGGTTGCTCCAGGATGAGCATGGGGAGCACGAGCACGGGATGGGTATGCAGGAATTCATGGCTTGCAAGAAGAGGGAGAAGTGACATTGCCCCCTCTTTTGGAGCCCCAAAGCTGGCTGTAATCCCGGGAAAGCACAACATGGGATTCATGGATTGTGCTTCGGGATTATCCTTCCCCTGTACAATCCCCCTCCAGGTCCTGCACACAACTTTCCACATCTACACCCCGGATTGGGAGTCAGTGACTCTGCTGCTCACTGAGTCCTGGAGGCCAGGAGAGGGTTGAGGACAAAACCTCATGTTTTGGTGCACACAGGGGGCCTGTTGGCCTCCCCATTTCATGTAATTTATCTTAAGTAATCTCCATGGACCTTCTGCTCTCGGGTCCCTTTTTCTCCTATAAAGAGGTATAAATGAGGAAGAGGAATCTGGATGCGGACCAGACTACCGACCCACTGGCTACTCTCTGTGATGCTTTATACCAATCTTCAAGAAATTTTAAAGAGAAAAGTTGAATGTCCACAAAATTTTTGTTTTTGACAAACTGGCATTTTCCAGGAAAAAAAAAAAAATCCAAACCCCCAACATTTTGCTGCAAACTTTCCAGCCAGAACTAATGCAAAGCCACTGCTGCTGCAGTACCAGCGCTTCCAAAAATGTGCTTCTGTGCCGTCTGATGGGTTAATATTCACTAATTAATCTCAATTCATGTCATCTAACAAATGTCTAATTTTTTGAGGGTGGTGGGTGGCTGAGCCCTATACGCGCGCAGCTCGAGGCAATCAAAGATGATTTGTGGTGACAAATGCTCCTTACACTCCCGAGCGAGAGGAACACACACACACGCACACTCTGTCTCTCTCGCTTATCTCCTGCGTGCCGGACCACCCTTCCCATCTATCAAAATATCCATGTTACCAGGCCTTCAGCTTGTTAATCCAGGATTAAAAAAAAAAGAAAAAAAAACAGGCATTTCATTTAAAGAAAGTTTACCCCCATTCTTTCTCCTTTTTTTTCTCTCTCTCCCCATCCTTTGAGCTTTCAGTCAAGACTGAGCAGATAAAAGTGTGCCAGGAGAGACTGGCTTTGTCGTATGCGTGGTCTGGTCAAGGCAAGAAGCGCTGGCACAAGATGCTCATAGTGATTTCATYGTGGTTTCCAGACCTCACGTTCACGTGGCAGCTCTAGGTGCTTCTCCAACTCGCTAGACCCTTTGAAGGCTGCGTTGCTGAGACCTCGAATTCCCATCCCTAGATTCCAAACTCTAGGAGCCGCCTCCTGCTGCTGCAGTAAAATCCTGGGGAAGCTATGGCAGATAAGAGGTAATATTTGATTTTATGAAGGTTTCAAATGCAAGATATGGAAAATAAGACAGAAATAATATGAGAGGAAATTAGATTTTCAGAATTTGGAGGAAAACTTCCTTTGTGGGGTATTTTTTCTTTCTGAATGACACACATCTCCAGGATAAAGGACACTGTGACATCCCCTGCCTTCATTTGATGGCCCAGTGACAGCTTCCCACRCACAATAGATGCACTGGGCAGTGCTTATCTAGATGATTAATCACTCATTAAGATCACTCTCACTTGGGGAGGCACTTGGGAAGGCAAGTACTGCCTTCCATGTCCGGACAGAGAGCAAGGTAGGAAGCACCGGGATCATCCTGCACGTCCTTCTCTGGCTGCGGAGCTGACTTGGGAAGCTGCCTTTGGAAGCCGAGGCAGGAACAAAAAGCATTAACACTTTATTTTTATCACTATAGTAACCAGGGACCACAGATCCTGAGCTAGCCCCATCCTTCTTCTGGGCGCTCTGATGATCCATCCAAGGACCAAAAAGTGGAATTCAAGCCGGGGAGCTGGAGCGCAGTCTGGAGCGAACGGATCCGCCACGGCCGAGGCATCATCACACTCCTCTTTTCAAACCACATTTCCTTTCCCTTCTTTAAGACCTAAAAATCACAACATGGCWTTTTCTTTTCCCCTGGAAAAAAAGATCCTTCAGGGTATGAAGGAAGAGCAGGGGGGAACCCTGGTTACTTGTATGTATGCCAGTGGAGCAAGAGCCTCACAGCAGCTTCTGCCCTTTTGGGTGTAAAAGGTGAAATCCTGCCCTTTTCCTGCGGGTTGGCAGATCACAAAGTAATGGGCAGGCGCATCTTAATTAAGCAGTTTGCCCAGGTCTGCAAAGCAATAACTTGCAGCTTTCGAAACAACAAAACAGCAATTAGCCGGGCGCTGCCTGATGCCCTGGCACATAATTAAGCATGACAGTACACAAATAAAGTAAGAACTAGAGAATTAATTAAGGGCTAAACATATTAATTACGGGTCCTCAATCAATTCTGACACAAGCCTAACCTCTTCCTCCTAACACCTTGGTGCAAAAATAGAACAAGCTGCCGGCAAAGATTTTCCACCCGCCTCCCGGATTCAAAGCCCGGCTTGGAGCYGCCTCGCGGGTCCCGTACTAACCTTCAGTGCCCCCTGGAATACACAAACGAGGAGCTGAAAATCTCTAAAAATACATTGGGAACAGGAGGAACAGCAAAGCGGTGACATTGGAGGCTTTCCTGCGAATCGCTGCTGCTTCAGAGCATCATTCCCCTTGCGCGGGGGGAAACACGGGGACCTAAAGGAGAAGCTTGACCTCTTGGGGAGCCCCGCGTCGTGTTCTGGGTGAGGAGGGAGGATTTTCTATTCTTCATCCCATATCACACTGCAGGGGCTTATGTAAAACCAAGAAAACAAAACCAATCTGCAGCACTAGGAAATGGGAATTAACTAATCGATTCCATAAACACCAGGATTGACTTGGACGTTTCTTTTGGAGTAAAGGGTCCACCAAGTGCAAACTACAGACCATGACCCCGGGTCCTCCCTGCTTGGCTGGTGGAAATCAGCCCCCACATCCTGGGAAGGGAAGGCAGGGGGGTCAGAGCCACAAGCTCTGTCACTGACTCACAGAAACCGCATCTCCTCCATATGTCCCAACCATCCTTGAAACCAGCCCGGGCAGGCAAGGAAGCATCAGGAGGTATCTGATTCAGAGGCAGTTTAATGACCCTCCTGCTGAAGATCTAGAAATACAGAAATGTGTATTCCAGAAGATCTAGGAATTTTAGAAACACTGAGGGGATCAGGCTCAGAATTAGTGAGTACTGGTAAATCTCACATAACCAGAAGGTGCACAGAGGGCTTGGGTGGTTTTACTCAAGGATGTCATTGCCTGTCTCACCTGGGCATGCCAGTCTCAGACTATCAYGAAATCTCAGACACCCTTTTATTTATTTGACACTGCCCTGAGCCAAAGAATAAAATTAACTCACACAGAACTTAAWGCATCCATGCAATGAAGTGGAATCGCTTGGGTGAAGCTTTTAAGGTGAAYTTGGTGCCCCAATGAGATGGCCTTGGCACTGAGGTCCATGGGACATGGAGAGTCACCCTCGTCATTCAAGGCCAGCAGCGTCTCCTAGCTGGCAAGTAGACCTTTAAACCACTCAGAAATCAGATTTGGCCACAAGAACTGGAAAGGAGGCCACCAAAAGTAACCTAGGAAATGATGCTCTTTGGATAGTGATGCTGCAGGACAGTGTTCAGAGGGAGCTCTGAAGGTGAAGCCCAGAAAAACCAAAGACAAACATTTAAAGAAAATCTTTGGGTCTCCAACAGTTTGGGAAAGGGACCTACAGCAAGTGAAGAAAAAAAAMCCTCGCTTGATTTCCTTCCTGCTTTGAACCAAAACATCTTTGCACTTTGCAAATGAGCTTATATATGTATATATACACACAAATATACATGTATAAAAAGAGATTCCTTCACAGTCAAATTAACTCATAATTCACCGATTGCTGTCACCAAGATTCACAGGCTGAGCCCTGTGTGCTCCTTCCCTCCTCAGCTCAGCGATAATCTGCCGAGTGGTTTATCTTGTGCTCCAAAAAGCCAGCAGCAGTTTTCACACTCACACATCTCAGCCCTGCTTAATCTGCGGCTTAGAAATTTATGTATTCGGGACTATTTCATTTCTTTCTCATTGAAATATATATATATATTTTATATATATATATATAAAGCAGTGCTACTGCTGATTCAAAGATCTGATCTGACACGGATTCAAGCAGGATCTTGAAAATGAAAAGCTCTGGGATTTGGATGGTCTGTGATCAGGCAACGCTGGTTATTTTGGCTGCCTGAGAGCAGAACCTACAGTTTGATCCTGGGCTGCACTAGCAGGGCCCTGTGCAAAACCAGCAGCATGTCCAGGCTCCGATCGCAGCCGACATTAAACCCGGCTCAAAGCAGAGGTCAGGAGCGAGGAGGAATTTTTGCCAGCTTTATCCCAGTGAAGGTTGCGGCGAACCCTCGCAGCAGAGAGAAGCAGGAGGGTTTCTTACCTACAGCAGGGAAYGGCACAAATCTCTGGATGAGGAGACGCGTGGCGGGGGTGAACTTGTTTGCTCGCTGGATCAGCACGTTAAGGCCCACCTGGGGACAGAGAGAGGAGAAAATCAGAGAAACGCAGGCACTGAGTGCCAAGGAGCACGCGGCAGAGCCCGGGCCTTGCTCCAAACCAGGCTCCTAGGCCATCCCTCCTCTCCCGTGCCAACCACCCCATCCAAAGCAAACCTTTGGGCCATCAAAAACACATTAATAAAAGCCAGGCCTTTTTTTTTTTTACATATATATATATATATAACTGCGGCTCGTTTTCTCCTCCAACGCTTGAATAATGCAGCTCTCCGCAGCTTTGCAGCGATCGAAGTCATTGCATATGTTAATGTGAAAAGCAGGGAGGAGGCTCCCCGGCTTGTCAGCACCAGCGCTGTTAGGTATTAGTGACAGAGCGTTGTCATCAGTGTTTGGGGTTATTTTCAGCCAGAACAGGGGTTATTAGCAAGCATATTTGCAAAAAAAAACTACTTCTGTCTTCAAATGCTTCAAATTACTTCCCCCCTCCCCAAAGTGTTCTCTCTTTTACATCCAAAATAAAYATAAAAAATCCCCCAAGCATGCAAATATAACCCAGCAGCCCCAAACCAGAAATCTTAGGCTGAAAATGGAAGCGTTTAGCAATGCCTGGCCAAAAAGTTTTCAGCCAAAGGGAAAAAAAATGCAGAAATTCAGAAAAAAAAAATCAGCCAAAAATCTGCCAGCAGATTTTGGGGGGCTTTAAAAAGTAAAAAAAAAAAAAAAAAGGAAGAAAAGGAAAGAAAAAATAAGAAAGCCATGGGAGAGCATGTTTTGCGAGCTGCTACATTACACATGCGTGGCCAGCGCGTGCTGCTGTCTGCAGGGTGAAGGGAGGATGAGGAGCAGCCCAAGCGGTGGGTGGGAGCGCGGGGAATGTCACCAGCCCCGGCCTCGTCCTGCTGTCCCCACCGTGGTGACACCAGCCACGTGGCATCGCTCCTTATTCCGGACACGGCGGCGGGGGTTTTGTCTTCATCTCTGCAGGACTGAGCGCTGTTTTACTCAACGACGTCCTCTTAAATGTTCCGAGTGCTGGGGATACATATTGCCAGGCTGTGAAACCGCTAAGAAACTGTAAATGAGTCCCCAAAATGGGTCCAAAGTGGGCAAAGCTAAGTCAGTCTTAACTACGGCTTTGCTGGTGCTGCCCATGGAGGCAAAATGAGGTCGGGCTGTCAAAAACCTTTGGTTTCCACATTCAATTCGGTGCCGTGGCTCAACTCGCTCGTCCACTCGCCGCAAACGCACCCGAGGAGTAGGAACTTCTCCGTGTGGCCCCGCCAAAGCAGCAGGGATGCTTTAATTAGGTTAATTCCTAGGGGCTACCCAAAGAACACCAACTATCGACTCAAATTCATCAGCGAAGCTAAAGAAACAACCACAGGAGGATTACGGTGACGATAATCCTGCCTAGAGGCCGATGAGGGATCTACCAGGCCAGAGCTCTGGGCTCTGGYTTAGGCTGTTCCTGCCTCTCCGTTACTCAGCGCAGCCTTTCCCTGAGCTTCTGAGAGTGAAGGGAATAGATCCAGCTTCCAAAAGCTGCCTGWTCCTCAAGGTCTCCTTTTATGGAGCCTTTCCTCAATTCCGTCCTCGGAGAATCCCAACAAACTGGGTCCTGGGAATACATTACATTGCTGCTGCAAAATCTCATCATGTGAAAATGGAAAACAAGTGTAGTGAGGGTAGAAGTGTAGTCCTGTGCCTCTGGACAGTGCTTCTGCCTCCTCCTGAGCTCTCTCTAACCATGGAGAATTAATTCCTTCATCTTTTTCATTTTTGGCATGAGGAGTTTGGCCCCAGTGGGCAGGACAGCGTTTGTAAGGTTGTCGTACTCACGAGTGTTCCTACTAAATGGGATGCTTGCACTGAAGCTCCACTTTCTGGGGGCAAACACACAGTGAAAAACAAGCCTTCTGCTTCCTTCTTTGCCTTCCAGCCTTCTAGAAAACATCCTGGCCTTGTATCCACAAAGACACATAMGTCAAGATGCATGGAAACCACAAGCCAAGATCCCACCTCCAAAAAACCAAACTATTCTTTTTGGGAAAAAATGGCATTTTATTAAAATGCCCATTATTTCTGAAGCATGACAACCAGCTTTTGAATACCTGAAGTTTGTGCTTACCAAGTAATTTGAGAAAATTTCATTCCAAAGTCCTGCTCCTCATAACCCAGCTCTAAGGCAGTCAGCTTACTGGTTCGCTTACAAAGAAGTTACCACTCTTATTTTTGACAGCAAGTTCTTCTGAAAYAGAAGAATATTGAGAGCTGGGGCAACTGAGAGGACATTAGTCTGCAGGCTAGGGCACCTAATCGTAGCCAAGCTGCTCTTTAGACTCCACTAATGAAAAACATTCATTAAGGTTGAGAGATGAAGATGGAGATGGAAAATTGGGATTTTTTCCAGCTGGAGATGTGCAAAGAGAAGGGGAACAAGGGAATGGGAAGCAGTAATGAGCTGAGTGGAGGAAGAAGGAGATAAGGAGRGGCAGGAGGAAAGAAGGGAGGGAAAGAGCAGAGTGAGAGCAGCATTAGGAGCAGTCTGGTAGCTGCRAGCTGCAATGAAGAACCTGGCAGGCTCTTGAGAGAGGTAAGCTGGGGTTGGAAAAGTTGGGGGAGAACGCAGGAGARGGGTAAGCAGGAAAAGAGGGACTTAAAAGTGATAAAGAGACAAACTTGACTCGACAAACGATGGCGAATCAGCGGAAGGATTCGCAGGGAAGGCGGGCAGAGCCCCACGYTCAAGGCACAGAAGCTGCTGGTTTTGAGCAAGCTTTCCAAGTGACCAGACCCTGTTCTGGATCCTCCTGTTTCTGTGAGGGCGGCCTGGGGCGGAAGGAGAAGCCACGGATGAAAACAAATTTAAGGCAATTAAGGATTTCATTGAAACAAGAAGGAAAAAATGCCACAGGGAAGACCAAGGAGTTTGTAGGAAGGCAATGGGCAGGAGTACTATGGGTACCGTGTGCTCCTGAGCCCAGCTCAAGGTGAAGGCCTGCTGAAGCCCAGCTCCAGCAGGTCGAGGGAGGTCGAGGGAAGTGATCATMCCCCTCTACTCAGCCCTGGTGAGGCCACATCTGGAGTACTGCGTCCAGTTCTGGGCTCCCCAGTACAAGAGKGATGTGGAGCTGCTRGAGAGAGTCCAGCGCAGGGCTACGAGGATGATCAGGGGCCTGGAACATCTGCCCTATGAGCAAAGGCTGAGAGAGCTGGGYCTGTTCAGCCTGGAGAAGAGGAGGCTGAGGGGGSACCTGATCAGCGTGTATAAATACCTCAAGGGAGGCAGTGAGGAGGAGGGGGGCRGCCTCTTTTCAGTGGTGGRCAGBGATAGGACTAGAGGAAATGGCTTCAAACTGAAGCATCGGAAGTTCCACAGGAACTTAAGGAAGCATTTCTTCACTGTGAGGGTGACAAAGCACTGGAACAGGCTGCCCAGAGAGGTTGTGGAGTCTCCTTCTTTGGAGATCTTTAARACCCKCTTGGATGCAGCCCTGTGCCACGTGCTCTAGGTGACCYTGCGTGAGCAGGGGGGTTGGACTCGATGACCTCTGAGGTCCCTTCCAACCTTCGGCATTCTATGATTCTATGATTCTATGAAGGGCTCTCTGCACCTACCTGAACAACCCCTTCCTCTCCCGTGCCTTGCCCTGCTTCGTGCTGCCTTCCTCCTGCTGCCGCCTTCCTCCTCCTCCTCCTAAACGCTGCTTTCTCACACCAAGTGGCAGGCAGTCCGGAGGGCGGTGGGTGGCCGCCCGCGCCGCCGCGCACACTGATTACGGGCATCACACCAAATTCGCAGGCTGTCAATGCAGCCGCTCCGCGCGCCTCGCAAACAATTATCGGGAAGAGGGAGCTGGGATTAGAAAAAGCCACGGGGGCACCTTCACCTAGAGAGGAGAGTGCCAAATTGTGTCTCCGGGTGCGCGAGCTAAGCGTGGGCTGGGGGCGAGGGGGAGGCACAAGCGCTGTCCCGCTGCCTCCGCTCGGCACTTCTTGCAATTCAGAATAAACTTTCAGTGCTTAAAAGCAACAAGTGCAATTCTAATAGGGCTAATTACAGCCTCAGGTTCTCCTGCTTGCTTTGGTGGGATAGCCCGTCCCCAAATGCGTGTGCATCCTGACGTTGGTACCCGGGATGTGCTAGGATGGGCGTCCAGAACGTACGAAGCRTCGAGGAGCGTTGTTGGCCGACGGAGCCGCAAGCACCAGGAGCTCCCAAGCTCAGATCCTGCCAACCAACTTCCAGGAGAAAAACACAGGCGCTTAAAAACACTGCTCTGAAGTAATTTGGCCCATAAAGGGAAGGAGCTGCTGCTGTGTGCAAATATAACCTCCTTATTCCCGCTCCCTGATGTGGGAAGGGTTTARTCCTGCACACGGGAGCAACGTCCTGAACACCTCTAGGCTTCCCGGAGCTGGGGGAGGAGAACTTTCTGCTGAAATCCGCTCCAGCACATCTTAGGTGGGAAGGAATGCTTCCAAGACAGAACCTGGTTTCATTTTGCAAGTTGCGGGCATCTTTTTCAGGGAAAAAAAAAGGAAAAATTAAAAAAAAAAAAAACTGTGGTTTTAAAATGTCATTCTTGCTGTCCCTTTGTCTCGAAGCAGGCTCTGTTTTAATCCCATCCCTCAGGCACAATGGGCCTTTTTTGAGCTCTAGATTAGACCTTTGCACTTTTTCTTTTCTTTTTTTGGTACAGCCAAATACGAAGAAGTTCTAATTTTTGCATAACCTCTGTGCTCAACCAGTTCGGATGACAGCCGAGATTCCCAGCAAGATTCCTAGGATTAAGGGACCCCRTGGAAACACAACTAAAAAATCTCTGGGCCAAATTAATTGTGTTTCAAGGTGCAATGAATGCTCTGCAGAGTTCATGGCACAGAGCAATTCCCTAAACTCCCCAGTCTGGCTTTTCCCTGCTCCTGATTTCAACATGTAGCCCAGAGGGACAGCAGGGCATCCTCACCTTCCTGCTTCTTGCTCAACCAGTGAGTTATATTTTCCTGGAAAT